AAACACAAAAAGAATTAAAGGCCTACAAATCTCTGGAAGAGTACAAATAAGTACTCAATACTGCTTATAATAAGACTGGTTCACAGTCGTAGGATTAAATTCTCCTGAACTTGTGAAATTCTTTCTTGCTCGCACTTTGTCTTTTAGGCCTGTTTTTTTCGAAAAGTTGCTCAAAACAGGGGTTTTATCAATATTTTTCGGACGTTATAGCCAGACTTTTTTAAAAGGTTAAATTTACATTCCCACGCAATATTACTTGAAAAGATTATTACTTGAAAAGATTTAAAGCAAATTTCCTGAAGTTGTTGAGAGGCAGTAGAGCAGTCATTAGATTTACTTCTTATGACCTTTATTCAGGGAAAGATGAATTAACTGAATCAAAATAACTGAAACTTAAAGTGAATGAAGATACTCAATTAGTAACCAGTCACCCACAACATCTACCACCGCCTAGGCCTATGCCTAACCACGGGGAATTACATCTAGAAAGAGTTATGACGATATAACATAACCGTTTAAATTTTAGAATATCTGGTAAATCTAAGTAAGACAGCCGCGCCTATTATTATTTTTTTCTCCTATCCCCTTCACTCTTGGGTGACCCGTGGAGAATGGGGGGTTGGAGGTAGGGGGGGGCACACACACACGCAAGAAATATCAAATGAAAAGTGAAATTTTTTGAAAATGCAAATCCGAACGAGATTCCGGGCGGCGCCGTTGCGAGATGCGCCGGTGTCAGTGTTGCAAAATCCCGACATTTCTCAACCTAACCAATCTAACCTAAACCTAACCTCAACTCTACCCCAACCCAACCCAACCCTGCCCTCCCCTCAACCTAGCCTAAACTAACTAAATCCTCAACCAAACCTAACCTAACCAACCTAACGTAACCTAAACCTGACCTAACCTAACCTGACCTACGCAACCTAACCTAACTGACCTAACCAACCTACCAACCTAAACCTAACCTAACCAACCTAAACGCTAACCTAACCTAACCTGCAACCTAACCTAAACTAAACCTAACCTAACTGACCTAACCAACGCTAACCTAACTAAACCTGCTAACCTGACCTAACCTAACCACCTAACCAACCTAACCTAACCTGACTAACCACCAACCTACCTAACCTGGACCTATAACCCACGCTTCCCCAACCGGACCCCCTTCCCTAGCCGTATTTCCTTACCTCCCTGGGGGTATTTTGCAGTACAAATGAAGCATACCTTCCAAACTCCCGTATTTTGTATTTTGCAGAAAGCTCACCGTATTGTTTACATTCGAGACGGTTCGAGACAACGAGGTTTGTGGACTGTAGAGAGGCAACTTTTGAATTTCAATTAAAGCACAACCAGTGAGGTCCCCCAATTTTATTTAACTTCCCGACACGTAGGAACTCTAGTCGATAATTCTGTTATACTTTCCTTTGTAAATATAGTGCGGCTGCCTAAATTAGTATTGCCATATCTTTACAGAAAAGCTATCGTACTTACCATAAGCACAAACCCTTACATCTCTCCCAGGCGCAGGATCAAAGTTCTTGCGATTGATAGCCAAAGCCTCCTTCTCTCGGAGTCTTTTCGGAAAACAATTAAATTTCAAAATTGAACCTTTTTTCGCTGTTCATTTGCACATCCAACAATAAAGCAACTGTTTACCTTGTCGGAGTTTCTTAGAAAAGGGTGGAAAAGGATGCGAATCTTCTATAAATCGAGGGAAAAAAGGGACGATGTTCGCGACAGACCAACACTAAATGAAGTTCGTGGGATTTTGTTGTTGTTTTTGCCCACCACTGCCGCCGATTGATCACGTGACAGCTCTGGTGACGTCATGATAACCGTCCCTATAGCTTTTAACGCTAAAAAATCAAAACAAAACGAGACAAAAGGGGGGGAAAACATCAAATAAAATAAATTATTAAACCAGATTTGTTTTTAGCCTTCCGCAAAACGAGACATAAATAGAAGAAAGAGAGAAGAGGAGAGAGAGAGAGAGAGATGAGAGAGAGAGAGAGAGAGAGAGAGAGAGAGAGAGAGGAGAGAGAGAGAGAAGAGAAGAGAGAGAGAGAGAGAGAGAGAGAGAGAGAGAGAGAGAGAGAGAGAGAGAGAGAGAGGGAGGAAGAGAGAGAGAGAGAAGAGAGAGAGAGAGAGAGAGAGACATATGCATCTGAAGGAGCATAGACATCCTGGTTATCGTTTAACCTAAGATCCTTAGAGGACTCATCTGACCCGATAACCCATACTAACCTCCGCAAAACGAAACATTAAAAAAAAAAAAAATACCCCCCCAAAAATATATGATAATTAATAATAATAATAATAATAATTCAACCAAATTAATGTAACATACCTGAGTTTCTCCTTCTGTTCGGGTGAGATGGTGGTGGTCCCGAAATGCCCGATGAGGCCGCCGACCAGGAGCCCGACAGCGGCCGCCACGGCAGCTACGACCACGCCGCGCTGTGTTAGTGACATCTGGTGGAGAGGAAAGAAAGTATCGAGGTTAACCTATGGGAAATATCGTGTTTATTTTGTCGTTTTTTTCTTGGTTCTTTTTTGTTTATTTTTTTTCTTTCTTTCTTCTTTTGTTTTCTATTTTGGTCTATCTTTCGTTTACTTTTTCTTTCTTTGTTGTCTTTTCTCTCTTTCCATCCTATCTTTTTATTTCATTAGTTCTTTCATTTTTTATTCTCCTTTATTATATATTTGTGGGGGAGGTACACAGAGATCCTTTTTTTCTTCCTTTCGTTTGTCTTCTTCCTCCCTATATCTAATTCCTCCTTTTAGTATTAGTGTTTGAGACGTAATGTCCTACCACATTTACGAATAGAGGACGATGCAAAAAAAAAGTACTGATATCTTGGAATAACAGACAGTAGAGAGAGAGAGAGGGAGAGAGGGAGGAGAGAGAGAGAGACAGACAGACAGACAGACAGACAGACAGACAGACAGAGACAGAGACAGAGACAGAGACAGGACAGAGACAGAGAGAGACAGAGACAGACAGACAGACAACAGACAGGACAGACAGAGACAGAGACAGAGGACAAGACAGACAGACAGAGAGAAAGAAAAAGAGAGAGGTCGTTGACAAACAAGGCTCTCGGGTTATGTAAGACTTTGATAAATAGAGTTAGATTGTATTTCCAGTAAGAATGACACGAATGAGGCAACAGGATATGGGTACGGCAATTAAGATTTAGGAAAACGTTTTTGACCGGAAAGGGCAATTAAGAGAGAATAAATGAGATACAGATAACAGAGAATATTAATGCACGGAATGTAGATAAATATAACGATGAATAAATATGATTCTAAGTTCATTTAGAGCCAAGGAAAGGTTTGCAACAGAATATTAATAGTATATAAAGCCCTTGAATCACGCTTTGGGTATTTTAAGGTGCAGGAAAGTTTTTTATTTTAGTTTTGTTGTCTCCATTTCGTGTGTAGGTGTTTGTTTTGTAACTGTTTCTCTCTCTCTTTCTTTTTTGTTCTCTCGTTCTCGCTCTCGCTCTCTCTCTCTCTCTCTCTCTCTCTCTCTCTCTCTTTCTTTTCTTTCTTTTCTTCTTTCTTTCTTTCTTTCTTTCTTTCTTTCTTTTCTTTTCTTTTCTTTTCTTTCTTTCTTTCTTTCTTTCTTTCTTTCTTTCTTTCTTTCTTCTGTCTGTCTGTCTGTCTGTCTCTCCCTCTCTCCCTCCCTCCCTCCCTCCCTCTCTCTTCCTCGAGTTTGCCACTTAGTATTAGTATAATATCTGAAATAAACCCAAAATAGCCTCAGTCATGTCATTATGCAAGCTTTATTATGCAACAAACGAGACTTCTGGGAACAATTAATACATATAAATATTCGTATTAGAAAAGAAAAAGCAACTATTATATGATCAACATTAATACGAATACAAAAAAAATAGGAAAATACTGAGCAAAGTATTTCAATCCGGATACGATAAAAAAAAAAAACAAATAAATAAAAAAAACAAGAAAATTAAGTGAGAAAATACGGGAAAATGTAGTCAACAGGTTTACATCGCGTTTAAGATACCCCCCCCCAAAAAAAAAAAAAAAAAAAAAATAATAATAATAATAATAATAATAATAATAATAGGAATTTTAATAATAAATGAATAAATAAGATAATAACAAATTGCTTCAAATTGTTTCGAATTCATCTTAATCCGAATAGATATTCGGAATATAATTATTAAATGGCATTCAAAACAGGATAATCGTGGTCCATATAAAGATATTAATTTCTCAACGTCTTTCTTTTCTTATCTGTCTCTCTCTCTTTCTTCTTTTCTCTCGCTTCTCTTCTCTCTTTCTTTCTTCTTTTCTCTCTCTCTCTCTCTCTCTCTCTCTCTCTCTCTCTCTCTCTCTCTCTCTCTCTCTCTCTCTCTCTCTCTCTCTCTCTCTCTCTCTCTCTCTCTCTCTTTCTCTCTCTCTCTCTTCGTAATAGGTAACAAACCCACAACCATAAACAAACAAACAAACAAACAAATACACACACATACAATATAGCCTCAAGTCCCCACCGGATGCAATCTCGAGTCGCGCAATGAGGATCTCAAAAATAATTAAATAAATAGAAAAAATAAAAAATAAGAATGAAAATATAAAAAAAAAGATGAACAATAAAAAATAAAAATAAAAATATAAAAAAAGATGAAAATAAAAAATAAAAATAAAAATTTAAAAGTATATGAAATAAAGATAAAAAATTAAAAAATAAATAAATAAATAAATAATAAATAAAAAAAAAATAAAAATAAATAAAAATACAGATAAAAAAAACTCGAACCCGGTGGCCAGGACTTCCCATCTTCATCTCCAAGTTTTGTTTCTTTGTTTCGCAACTTTTTCCTTCTTTTCTTCTGTTCGCTTTTTCTTCTGTTCTCTTTTCTTTTCCTTCTTTTATTCCCGTTTAGATTATTTTATCAGATGTGGATTAGATTAGTGTTTATGAGAGATTTTGAGGATTTTTGTCTCCGCTATGAAAAAAATGG